GAGCTGCTAAAAGTATAAACAACTGTGTTAAATCATTTTCATTTATTCAGAAGACACACCATCGTGCACCGTAACCTTAGAATATGAAAACATTGGTGAATGCCACAAATTCTCCTAAATCACTCGTACGCACAACTTAAGAACAAATCTGTGCGTACGAACGGTTCTTGCACGAGGCCCAATGAACTCACATTTTGTAATTGAATTTTTTTAAAAGTGACTTTTGATAAAACAGCTGAGAGGCTGCAGATTCTGTTTCCTGTTTGTTTATTCAGCTGGTGAAAGTGGCTCCAACAGTGCGGGAACACCYGGTGTGTTGTGTTACCGGAGCGGTGTTGTTCTGCAGGCCTTCAGGCCACACCTCAGGACCAGCTGCCTCCACCGTCTGCAGAGCCTCCTCGTAGGCCAGCTGCAGCTTCTCAGCCTGTTTGTCAAACTGGAACAGAACCAGGGTCTTCAGGAGGCTGTGGATCTCCTCTGTGGAGGGAGAACATTCGTTTTTTAGGTGTTTTAAATTCAACCTTACATTAAAAAAAGAGGCTAAATTGAAAGATTTCAGAACCAAACGATTGCATCAGCTACATGGAAGAATATTTTCCTTCTGTATGCAGGGATTTGACGGTGTTATCGTTTAAATATCTGCAGTAAAAACAGAAAACAACCACCTCTCATCTTGTCCACRGTGGTGAGGATCTCAGCGAGCGCGTGCATCAAGGCTCGGTCCTCCATCGGGCTTCCTTCCTTCAGACTCAGCTTCTTCCTCTCCGCTTTGCGGCGGTTCTTTGACGACCTCCTGCAGAACGAGCTCAGAGGAGTGAATGACAGAAATCAAATCGTTTGTTTAGTTTTTTTTTTTATTTCACGGTGTGTGGGAGGAGTCTTACGAGGAGATGCGGGAGTTACTCTGGGAGTATTTGGAGGCGGTCATCACGCTGCTGGCCTCAGAGTAAAGCTCCACGTCGGGACAGTCTGGACCGTCTTCATCTGAGAAACAGAAAGGTTACTGCTCAGCTGGAGAACAGAGATCAGAACCGAAAGGCTCATCGATAATTTAAAAAAAATAAAACGATTAATCTCACCGAGCATATCCAGTCTGGCCTTTTCTTTCTGCTCTCGGACCACAGCCAAACGGTTCCTGTGCCGACTGAACGTCGCTAGCTGAGCCTCCAGAAACACCGTCTGAGTGTTTACAGCTGAAACGACAAAACTTTAGTTCTCGATTCCATCCTAGATTAAAAGAAAACATTTATTCTGGGCCTAATTCTAYGGAGCCCGCCGGGGGTCAGTGGTGAAAAAAGAAAAACAGCCGCCAGAAATCCGTGCGCACAGATTACTAATCTGTGCTCTCAGTTTCTGTAGTCAGTGCGCGCAGATTGTGTCGACAGGTTGGACGCATGGTGTGTGTGGTACAATCTGTTTTGTTGTATCCGGTTTTATTGTGAAAGGCTAAACAGGAAGTGAATACTGTGAGTGCGGGGACAACTTGTTGTTTCGGGGTTAGTTGCTACAAGGTGTCGCTCGAATCCTTGCCTCAGAACACAACCGTATGAAGCCGCAGCTTCAAGGTAAATTCAGTGGATCTGTTGTTTTATAAACTTCAGGCACTGTCGTGTTCTCATCAACACACTTTTTAGCCACAGAATGTCCCTGAAAAATTCATCAAAATCCGAAGTGGTTATATATTTATTTTCATATTTTCCAGGCAAATGAATCCTGAAACAGACGTTAACCTCCTCCACCCTCCCGTCCCCCGTTTTGTTGTGAAAGAGAATAAACATCTGAGAACCGCTGGAGAAAACCTCCGAGCGTCTTGCTGCAGAGAAATGTCCCCGCGTGGCGAGCTTCATCTGCAGAATGACAATCATGGGAGCCGCAGCCCCGCTCTTACTCTGAAATGTTTCAAACTTTATTCAGATGTTTCTGTGGTGTAATAAACGTWTTTGAAAGAGTAATAAACATTTCCTAAAAGTTCAACATAAATCTATTCATTACTTTTGTGATATAACCCTGAGAAGGCAGCCGGCTAACTTTAGCAAAACTTCCCCGTTGTCAGGTAAACTGTAAACATCCTGTTACCACGGGCAGAAAGCGGCTTCCTGTGATGATCCGATCAGAGCTGAAACAGCCTTTAGGAGACCCAGKACCAAAACTGCCTGATAGAGGGACAAAAACTGTACAACATACTCAAAGTCCAACATTTTCTGTGCTGTACTTTGACTTTAGTGAACAAAAAACGCTCCTTAAACACTTTCTGAGCTGATGAACGACAGTTCACACAACCACCCTCCAGATGTCAGTAATCCGTGCACATGAATTGCAGAAACCGTGAGCACAGTTTAGTAATCCGTGCGCACAGTTTAGTAATCCGTGAGCACAGTTTAGTAATCCGTGCGCACAGTTTAGTAATCCGTGCACACGGATTTCCAGCGGCTGTTTTTTTTCTCCCACTGACCCCCGGCGGGCTCCGTATAATTCTCACGTTCAGGTAGGTGACTGAAGTCTTACCTTCCAACAGTGCAGGTTTCAGGTTGGTTTCTGTGATGTCTTGTCTGTTGTGCATGTAAATCTGAAATAATAAAACTGTTTTAATTCACTATAACACGTGAATTATTTTAATACATTACACAAACAAAGGTTTATTTATTTACTGACCAATCTGAGTGCCTCCTCCCAGACTGCACCAGTGATCAGAGCCAAGATGGCCTCCTCACAGTCCTGTAGTAAAGACAAAAAAAAAAATGTCTGATGTGTGCATTTTAACTAGAAACTAGAATAATTCCTGGAGAAACTAAGAGAGCTTGCCACCTGCCATTGAATTTAATTAAAGATTTGAATTTACTGTTTTTTGGAGATCACTGATCTAATAACATCCCAAACTTGAGCCAAAAATGTCTAAAAATGGCAGAGTTATGGTTAATTTTGCATTCTAGCTATGGCGGCCATCTTGGATTTTTAGTTAGCAATCAGAATTTGTCAAAGCTTGACCTTGGCTACTAGTTTTCAGCTGTGTAAGTCTTAAAAGAGCCGAATTGGAGTGTTTTTTTAAATTAGCATTAGCTGTTCGCTTAAACTTGCGATTAGCGTTCAGAATGTGTTGAGTTAGCTCTCAGCTATCAACACACCAAATTTCAGCTCTGTATGTCTTAAAACTGCTGAGCAGTCTGGGTCCCATGTTGACAGAAAGCCCCTTCTTAGGTCTGTTACTCGTGATGCTAATCCGCCCAGTAACAGCCTCAGCCAATCAGAAGTCCCGATTGTGACATGAGAAAATCTCTGAAAAGTTCAGTTCAAACAACTGGCTGCTTTGTGAAAACTATAAGGTCCATTGAAATCATTCTTGAACCATAAGTGAGAGAAGAGATTGTTTCTTACTCATGGAAATTTTCAAATTTGTACAGCGCTTTATTTCAGAGATAAAACGAGTTAAAAATAGTTGTTTTGCTTCAGAACTAGAGCGTGAAATAAATTTTATATATAGAAAGATGGGAAAGGAAGTTGTGCTTCACTGACGTCTAACACACTTTGAGAGAAAACCATTTGTCCTACAGCAAAACCAGAAACATTGGCTGAAAGAAGACAAAAATGCCTACGTTTTCATATAGAATTTGTCTGTGTATCATGAAAATTGTGGCTGTAGGAAGACGTTCACTAAGAAATCTTTTAAAAGTCAGACAGCTCTCACTAGAGTGACAGTTAAAGTCAGTTGGAGCTGAGCTCTGTGTATTCCTATGAGGATTTTTGACCTTTTTTTTTCAATTTACATTGCCACGGTCAATCAAAATGCCACTAAAAGTAATAGCACCCCTCCCACCACCGAACCGGTCGTTTTGGTATAACTTTTGTAGGGCTGCAATCGGGCCGCATTAATTGCAACTATAAAAACAAAAGATATGAAGTAGAGATCCTTTTTTAAGGTGGATAACAATCAGCGCTGCCATTCGAAGCAGTGCCTTCCTCTTATTCATTCGATACGGCAAGCCCTAATAAAAAAAATTAATGTCAAAAATGTTTTAGTGATTCTACTTTTTGGATTTGAGTTCTTACTTTGGCGTACTGGTCCAACAGCACAGCAGCTTCAGAGAAGCGCCGCTGCTCCGTCAGCTTCTCTGAGAGAGAAGAAAGCAGAAACAATCAGCCGTAGATCTAACCTTAGACCGGTCAGTCAGACCACCTGGTTACCTGCCAGGTCTCTGGCCAGCAGAGCCAGCTGGTCGGGCGGCAGCGGTATCTGCTGTGCCACACAGATGGCGTTTCTCCAGCTGGAGCTGATGGTGAAGGCCTGCAGGGCTCTGAYGGGCTCTCCACACCGCCACAGCAACAAGCCGGCTTGCTCCGCCTGCTGCAGCTCCATCAGGTGTTCGGCGTATCCGCAGCTCAGAAACTGAGGAGGTTTGGCATTTAAGACTTTAAAGGAGAAGGGGGTCTCTGCAGTACATGTTGTGGGCRGACACGGGCCTGCTCGTGATTGGTAGACCCCTACTTGGTGGGCTTTGGGGAGTAGTCTGGTCGAGTCGGGCAGGAAGCAACGTTTTTTATAAGATTTATTTTAGTCATAACTTGAAAAAGGAAGGTGCTAGCTGCACGAAATTTGAATGCCGTACACATGGAGGGACGTGTAACAATTTGGCTCAGTCAAAACATCCCCAACCAGTCTGTAAAAAGATTGCTAAAAATCAATATGAATACGAATATTCTAGGGCTGCAACAACAAATCGATAAAATCGATAAAAATCGATTATTAAAAGCGTTGGCAACGARTTTCATTTTCGATTCGTTGTGTCACATGATCTATGCGTCCCTCACCACGTTGCGGAGCCGTTTACGTCACCCGCAGAGTGTTGTCAATGCTGGCTGACCTAAATAAAGTTTAGGAAGAAAAAAAAAACTCTACCTGTAAAGATCCGCCCTCTCTGAGACTCTCGAGAGAAAAGCAGAGACTTTGAACTTTTAACCAGTTTTTAAATCGTGTTGTTAGGCCAAGTGGATCCGAAGATATGATAAAAAGTATACGCCACAATTTATTTTTTTTAAAAGACGTCTGATTTGATGCGCCGCATCGCGAGGAGGAAACACGTCCCGTGAGGAGAAAAAAAAAAAGGTACCTCAGTCGACCTCAGTCCACCATGTTTTTCCTCGTCTCGGACCAGAAATATAAAACCCTCGTCTTTTTTTTCTGACCGAGGCTCAAACTTATTTGATAAACAGCAAAAAGGTTCAGGACGAAGGGGAAAAAAAATTTTTTTTTTTCCTTCGT